ATGGACAGAATAATTTGGATTTAAATGTACAGGGTCAGAGATCAAGATCTCCACTGTGGAGATCCTTTTCCATGAACTGAAGCTAAATCAAAAAATTTAAAACGTCCATGCAGAGTTGAGAGCTGACCATCCCCCTCACAGCTTCCATTTGGTCAGCAAGGCTACATATGATTGTAATAGAACTATAGGAAGCATTGGGTGGTGTCATGTCAGCTGTTTAGCGTGCAGTAAAAGGTATATACATTTGAATAGACACAGTAAAAACAAATTTAATATATTGCATCAAAGCATTTTGAAGATGAGGTGGCTGCATTAGTTGTCTTAATTTTTAGGTTTTTCCCTTTGTTTGTATCTGGCAATCCTGTGAACAACACACTTCCTGGCCCTGGATGGCTAAGCTCCCTACTCCACTGCATCTGTGGAAGGGCCATGGTTGCCACACAGGCCCATTTCAAAAATGTCCTCAATGGTTCATCTTCAGTACATGAGTGTTGATGGGTTTAATGGCTTACAAATGAGATAACATTGTTTTCACCACCTGCCGAGCTTACAGAAACAAGGACACCCCATTTCTGGCAAGATCAACAAGTATTTTCTGTAATTGTACTGGGATGTGGTGGCTGTTTTAATTTTTCATGCCAAGGACTGGCAAGCTGCATTATATTAAAGTTTTGTTTTTGGGTTCAACTACAGTTGAAAATTATTTTTCTTTAGAATGGTATAAAACTGAAGGTAAGACAACATACATTCAACTTTAACTAGTGTTTACTACATCTATATAGCATGAAAGATGTCCCAACGGTAATTCCTAAACCTCCAACATTTGTCATACAAAGGGGTCAACATATAAACTATCTGCAGGACCACCAATATCTTTTAACGTACATTTTGTCTAGATATGCCACAACGAATGTTCTTTAGTCATTTCATTACAAGGCAATGTCGTTTTTAAGATTTTTCTATGTAATACCCTATTATGGCCACTGGATGGTGCAGAGGATCAAAAAGCACTTATTTCCTTTGCGACTTTAGCTCCATCTAGGGACCATATATCTTTTGAAAATTCACTGCTCTTGTAAACAAAACAAAAATAAAGAATAAAAGAAAAAAAATAAAGATATTTGCAGGAGAAACAACCCTGCATATTCTTCATAGACCCTAGTGTGTGCACTACAATAGGGGGTCTAATATGATCTCCGCATTCAAGTAAATTATGTACACGGTTGTGAAAGGGGTTTTTAATTCATGTGAAGTGTCAACATGGCACTAAGTAAACAGCTTTCCATGCACCCTCTTCTCACCATACAAGTATGCTGGTGTACAGAAAAACAGAGTTCAACAGACATGGCGTGAACAAGCCCTAGTGCACCCTGAAAGTTGGCATCTTTAGTAACTTAATTTAGCAAAAACACTTCAATCTCTTCTTCAGGCTTTATATAATTAAAGCCTGAAGAAGGGATCCAAGGAATCCTGAAAGCGTGCATCTTTAAAAACTAAAGTTAGCTAATAGAGCACATCAGTTAAACTCCAAACTTTCTGCCGTAATTGATGGCAATACAATAGTTTACAACAATATTTAATGCAAATAGATTACTTTCTCAAAAGGAGTTGACAAACCTCCAGGGTATTAATGCTCCAGGACAGGAGGTAAGAGTATCTCTCCAAAATGAGCATAACCCTCATTCTTGACAACAGTGAACTGATCATTGCATATCTAGGACCAACACCCCCATACCACAGCACCTCATCTGCAAAAGACTATCATAATAAACCATAATGGGTAGAGAATGTGGTACTTTTTAGGTGATACAATAATGTTCTTTCATACAATGCATCAGAAAAGTCACACATTCTATACCAGGGTTAGGCAAACCTCAGCCCTCCAGCTGTGGTGAAGCTACATGGCGATCATGCATCTTTCTCTGAAGTCATGCCTGTGGCTGCCAGAGTCTTGAAATGCCTAATGGGAAATGTAGTTTTACCACATCTGGAGGGTTAAAGTGCAGCTATCCCGGTTCCATACCTAGTCAGTGGAACTGGTGTTGCCACTGAACAATATCTCCTCTACTCCTATTCTAATGAGAACTGTACAGTTTTGGATGTCCCTTCATTTCCTGTCCCAGTGAGAGTGGTCATTAGAATAGCAAAAAAAGGGGGTCAGAAGTCCTAAACCTTCAACTAGCCTATCCAAAACTGAAGAAAAGAAAATGCTGTACCTCTGTGACCAGCCTTAGATGGATACTAACATTCTCCGACTGTTCTCTGAGCTGCAAGTTATATCTGAGGCCTTAACGACACTTGCAAACAATGATGAACTGTTTCAGGCCCACTGCCTCAAAAAGGTAGTATGCAGAACCCAAGGCTTCTCCAACTACTATATTGCTTGTATTTTAGGCTTAGTACAGGTTACTAAACACAAAAGTGGATTTTTAATAGACCAACATTAAAGCGTCTCTAAACCCATGGTTCTTGTTAGGGTAACGGGAGGACACAAACTAGCGTCCTCCCGCCACCCTAAGCTCAGTATACCTCGAGCTACTGCTCGCGGTATACTGTGACGCCTCAGCTGAAGCGGATCCCGACAATTATGTCTGGATCCGCCCAGCTGCGTGACAGCTGGCTCTACCTATCTAGAGGCAGAGCCAGCTGTACCCGCCCCCTCTCACGTCCGTTCCGCCAGTCAGCGCTGGAGGATCAGAGCGGAGAGGGGGGAATACAGTCCCTCACCTGTCACGGCACTGTGCCGTGACAGGATTGAGAGGTGAGCGAACGCCGGTATGTGTTCGCTCACTTCCCGATCTACTGAGCTGACCTGTGACAGTCTCATTGTCAAAGGTTGGCTAGTGAAAAGCACTCACCTCATAGTTCTCCTCAACCGCTTGAAGACCAGGTGTTTAGACCCCCTTCCTGGCCAGGTCATTTTTCAGTATTCAGCGCTGCGATACTTTGACTGACATTTATTCCGTCATGCAAAAGTTGTACTGAAATTAATTTTATACCATTTTTTGGGGACAGATAGAGCTTTCTTATGGTGGTATTTAATCACCACTGGGGGTTTTATTTTTTACTATATTCAGGAGAAATTACTGAAAATGTTTTGCATTTATGTTATAAAAACTAATATTACCCACTTTTTTGGTAAAATATAAAAGACGGGGTCACGTCGGGTAAATAGACACCAAACATGTCAAGCTTAACAATTGAGCGCACTCGTGAAATCGCAAAAAACTAGCATACCCAAAATTCGCCATAGGCGACGCTTTAAAAGCGCAATAGTGGGCGCAATAGTCATTTTCGCAGGTATGCGCACCTGACGCATGTTTACATGCGTGTATGTAGGGGTGGGGACTTAAATTTTATTTTTTTTAATCTTTTTTTATGTCTAACTTTAAAAAAAAATTGGGGGGGAAACTTACATTTTTTCCCCCTATTTTCACTTAACTTTATTGCTATCACAGAGGGGGCTGAGAACCCCCTCTATGTGATAGCAAAAGAGGTGACAGGTCCTCTTCATGGAGACATCAGTGGTCTCCAAGACCCGTAATGTCACCAAGGACCCCCCTGAAGAAGCAGAGATCTGCTTCATCAGCTTCTCTCCAGCATCTGAAGCTGGAGAGTGACACGAGAATGCGGAAGTGATGTAATATACACCACTTCCGCATTCTGACAGCGGAGAGGGGACCGGAGGGAGCTCGTATACCGACCTCCCTCTGATCCCCTGTGACAGAGGCAGTATGCTGGTCCCGGGCTCACACCGGAGCCCGCACCAGCTTGACAGCGGGAGGGGGGGGGGCAGAGCCGCACATCACGGGAACTCATACAAGCGATCCGCCGGCTCTATAGCTTGTATATTAACGGGCATCACTGCCTGTTTTCAAGTAACGGAGCTTTTCCCGCCCGAGCGGATGTAACAGGACGTATATACACGCCCAGTTACATCCAAGAAGCTCCCGGACGGCTGTGTATACACAACGGCCGGCCGGGAGGTAGTTAAATAAACGTTTATTCTACTCTACATCCAACACTGCCCTCTAAACAGGTTGAAAATGCTGCTGTCCAAGGGTGACGTTGATGCTCCTCCTTTAAGTGTCGTCACCCCAAGACAGGAAATGTGGTACTGGCCAGATCATCAGGTGAAGATAAAGAAAAAAGCCAAAACAAAAAACTAAAGCAGCCACCACATTTAAGGATTGCTAACCTGCAATATATAACATTTTTGTTTTTGGGGTTAGAGACACTAAGCTAAACAGCAACAATGTCCTCGACTTTCAGACATTGCCCCCAGATTTTGTGTCAGACATCTTAATGTAGCATCTGACTGGTTGAGATTTCCCAACTGTAGGCATTCAATAGACCCAACTCATACAAATTAGGATCTTCTCACATTTAGGCTGCATTCACACCTAATTTCGTATGGAAATCGCAAGTCAACTAAGTGTCCATGGACTTGCAATTGTACCTTCTGTTCCGTTGCAATCTGTTTTTCAACGGATGCTAACTGAAGGGCACCTAAAAGTGAACGGATGTGAATGGGGCTGGTTAACACTGAATCCGTTGTGTTATGTCGCACTGAAAAATAGTGACTAACTACTTTTTTTCAACACAATGGATCCAGCCTGAACCAGCCCCATTAATTTTTCTTTGCCCTTCCATTAGCATCCATTGAAAAACGGATTGCAACGCAGCGGATCCGGCGTGAATGATTCTCACACAAGTCAGAAAACTTGTGTTGCTGTATGCAATTGTATGTGTAAATATTTTAGTTATTTATGCATTGCACAAAGTGACACATTGTCAGAGGCACCACGTGTTACAAACTTAACTACGAGCATTTAGATTCTGGCAATGCCACACAAGCATAATGTATAAAAACACGTATGATGCAGAGCTGATTCTTCTGTAAGTAAGTGATGTCCAAGCCAGTTATTGACTAGCTGCTCAGTCATGATATAACCTGTACTCGTCATACTATACTTGTTAATGAGACCTAATGTGCCAACATCTCAAAAGCAAGCTCTTCGTAAAGAGTCACAATTTACTCAAGTATTCTTTCTTGGAAAGTTAGAGAAAAAAGGTGTATTCAGCAAGTCATGAGGATATCAAAATGTTTCTTCCCCTGTAATACTCACAGAGATGGATGCATCAGAATCCAGCTGATATTTGGTAGCAATGCCAAAGCGAGTGCTATTGTTGCCAGCTGTCCAGGCCAGGTTAACGGCTGTCTCGAGTTTGTCACTGACTTTCTGGTAGATAGAGCCAGCAAATTCTGATCCATCATTGCTAAAGGGGAAAAAAATAAATTTTCAATAAAAAATAAACCCCCAAATCTTCTATGTGCTGGTTGATTTAGTGTCCCTTTGCTACTAGTGGCTTTTATGGCCACTGGAGGAAGGGGGCCATGGGGAGCTGCCAGGGAAAGTCAGGGCTTAGACCTCATATCTGAAAAGGCTAGTAAAAGGCGCACAGGAGGGCTTGTCTAATAAAAGGCAACTGGCAGGGTCTATACCAATGATCAACTTATGGAGGTAATATGGACATGAAACAGGTTTGGTTGTAGACATTATGCAGAGGACCGTGAGAGACTGGGAAAATGTTACATTTGGAGATTGTTGCTATGAACCTTTTAAAAAACAATGCTGTCTCCTATACTACAGAGCGATGGATCCAAGGGCCACACAAGGACTAAAGGGCTGCATTCACACCATGGCCTAAAGGTTGGATTCCAGGGCTCTAAATGGATGACATATTGTGTGGTAAGGTTTTAGTCATTAAAAGTAATTGTATTAGACAGCAAACAAAGTTGGCACATTTTTCTTTACTTCTATATACAGAATAATAATTTTCAGAGACCATGTAAAAAAAGAGAGATTATAGTTTATACTCACACATTAGTATGGAGCTGGAAGTCTCCCGTCTTGTAACCAACTGCAAAGTTATTCTTGGTCAGCTTGGATTTGGCACTGTCAAAGGTCATCTGATAACCAGCCAGCCAACCTTCATAACCCACAACCGCTGAGCCATGAATGGCAGGACCAGCAAAATCAAAGTCCACATCACATCCGAGGTTTACATACTCGCGTTTGTAAGCAGCCTTGACTTTACCGCTCTTCTTGCTAATAAAAAGAAACAAATAATGCAATAGATGGGTTTTGGGATCTATAAACTCTGCTCTCAACAATAAGGCAAGGAAGAAAAGGGGAGAAGGGGCACAGGGTATGGTGCAGGACAGTTACTCACCCTGTGTTCGGTGAGAAGGTTGTGTCAAATGTTAGTTTAAGACCTTTTGCAATCTGAAGAAGGAAGCAGACATGCAATAGTTAAACACCTTTAAAATGTTCATGTTGTTGCCATTCAAATATACCCAGTGAACTGCAGTGACTGGAAAACAGCACAGGTACTAAGGTTTCGACACATACTGCATGTGTCTAAATTGTGTGGTACGCTGGACGTGCTTTTGCAGCAAAGCTACTATGTGATCTGAGGATGGTGGAACAATACACACACATTCCACTAATGACAAACCTGGAAGGGCTAAAATGTGAATCATTGTTTAGGAGTGTGTGATAAAATGTGAAGTCATTGAATGCAGGCTGGATAAAGCTGCTAATAGGCAGAATTCAAAGTTTTCAAAACACCAACAGGCGGCAGTACCTCAACTTAATTTTCCACCTTTAAAACCTAAAATCCTGCCCAACAGCAGACAACATGATGGCCGCTACTACCGTTATAAACCATAACAGAACCACCAGACAGGTGATGGTAAGGTGAGCTAAAGAGAAACAAATAGCCTCCTCTGAATCAGTGTGAAGCACAGACTTCTCAAAATCAAAGTATGTGCAGGACTCCCTTCTATCACATGTCTAAAAAATAAGAGGTTTAAGTCCTCTTTTTAGAATAGTGGCTGGAGCCATACAAAACTATTCCTTTATCCCCCTCCAGACGTGGCGGTTTATAGTAGATACAGCCGGACATTAAAAAGAGCCCTTTTTTTTACAAACTGCATAAAGCAGTTTCAGGCAGTTTGGAATAAATAACAATATCTGGCTTCTGAACGAGACCTGTATTAAGCCACTAATAGTGTGAAAGCTTAGTCACACAACCCTGCTACAGTGAACCCCAAAACAAGTCAGGTAAGACATTTGTAAGGAAAAAAATATATATATATTTATATAAAAAAAAACAGTTAAAATGTATAAACAAATACCTGGTCTTCAATTGCAATTTCAGTCCCCAAGGTGTTGTCGGTGTTCCATTTCTCTGTGAACGTTAGTCCGTATTCTCCCCATTTGTATTTGGTCTCTAAGCTGCCGTTTACTTTAGCAGAATCTGTGTTTGATGAGCCTGATGTAGAGAATTCCTAACAGAAAATAAGACAAGGTTAGTGGTGAGCATACTCTGATCACACATTCTGTAATGCTTGTACAATGCACTCAATTACCAGTAATCCAATGGCGTTACTTAAAGAGAGCAAGACACTAGAGCGATAACACTGAGATCAGACCATGCATTTGTGGGGGGTTTCAGAACCAATACCATTTGATGCAGTCAAGGTTAACGACAATTTTCCACTTGGCTCCTTCTATTTTTCAATCGATGCATGTCAAGCCAGTGGTGACTACAGGGCCATCTGCGACTCAATTTAGCAGGAAATGGCTATAATTCAAGTTGTGTATGAACAGCGTAAAGAACCAAGAGGCCATATTTGAGTATTGTGCAGATAAATTTAGATTCACTTTTGTATTTGGTACATTTACCTCTATGAGAAACAAAAGGTTGCTATATACACAGACAATGCACTTCAGCACTTGGATGCATTTCAGGTGAAAGGACACAAATGGCTGAATTTTGCTAGCGGTAATACATAGCAGCTCCTACTTGTACTGTGTATACTATACTTACAGGGAAAAATAGAAAAGTCATGTGCTGTGGATTGACATCCTTGTGGATAACCAACATTGGATCCATTTTGCATGAAAAGCATAACACCATATGAAACAAAATGTGCTTCCAGAACGTTTGTCTGACGTTCTATTGGTTAATAGGGTCAAACCAACAATTGTTACCATCGGCAAAAACAACATTTTGAACGACATGCATCAAGTCTCTGATGAAATCAAATGTTGTAACGGGATTTTCCATATGAATGATCATATGACAATCTAGCAGCATATGGCCTAACAGGCACCTGATAAGGACCTCCAGGCCTGCCAGGAAATTATATCACTGGGATTTCCCATGAACAATGCATAAGTAGAATGCATTCGTTACCAAGTGTTCTAAGGAAATGTTGTGTGCTGTGAGGAGACCTGGAACCAATGAAACTCATTCCTGGTCTCATCTCTCCTGCCAGTTACAGCTGATGGACGGCTCAAAGAGAAGCCATACAAACAATACAAGATCTAGCTATGTACAGCCCAGTTATCCTTTGCTATATATGCTCCAAGACAGAGGCTCTCATAGATTAGAGTTAGGACCAAACTACACAGAGGGGCCTTCATAAGGGAGTGTGGCTTCCACATATTTTGCAAAAGTTGTGCAACTAAAACCTGTTTTTATCTAATAAATTTGGCAGTGTCATTAGTTTGCAGGCTAGCTGGTAAGTGTGCTGGGAAACGTTTGTTTTTGTAAAGCCCAGTTATGTCCCCCATTTATACAGAAGGCAGGTGCAAGGGAATAAACTTACCACTCCACTTGCAGACTTGGTCTTGACATCAAGTTTCACCAGCCCAAACCCTGAACACACACCACAAAAGAAGAGGTTGTTATTAATATAGAGAAACAACTTCTGAAAGCTTAGCTTAAATTCACAATTACACTGCTAGCAAAAAAAGCTGCGTGTTCAACTACCACTTATCTTTATTGTATTAAAGCTGGATACTCGCAATGGTGCTGGTTGCTGAAAGTGCAGCTTCCAGTCTGAACTTCAAATGAATGGGACGGTCACTGGAATGTCCTTTGTAGCATTCCATGGCTGTCAGCCAATAATGAGATTTACCTTAAATGTCCCCATTCAACTAATAGAAGCAATTACTAGATTATCTTCAGATGTTTTAATGCCCGCTGTCAGATATAATCTGACCGTTTACCGAGTGCAGCCAACAACATGTTATAAAGTCTGGCAAGTGGCTTCCAACTACCAGTAAATACTTATCCCTGTTCCCCATAATCACCCATACACCTCAAATTAAGCTGACCGTGGAAGTGTCTTCACTGGGAGTAAAGCACCAGGAGAAGGAGGTATGTAGCCAAGTAAAATAGGTAGTGCAACCCTGTTCTGTGTTCACTTCAAACACCCATCCAGAGGGAAATAAAAATAAAATCTCCTAAATCTGATTGGATATTTGATGTGAACACAAGGTGTGGTTAAAGTTACTTTTTCTAGTGAAGATATACCAAAGGGGCCGATTTATAAAAGCTTTGCCAGGCATATAGCAGGAAGAATGCAGTTTGCATAACATGACTGCCACTAGATGCAGCCAAGGAGCACAAACACAATTCTAGTGGCAGTATTTCCATGCAAATGGCATTAGTCCAGCTAGACGCCAGGCAAAGCTCTCATCAATCAGCCCCCTTAGTGTCTGGGTAGACTTTCATTAACAGGAGAGCACACTGCGAAGGGTGACCACACACGTGGACAGGATAGGCTTGGGGAGGTGACAAAAGAAGATGTAATAGTGAATGGGACTTTCTCCTGGCAATGCAGTGTGGCAGGAGTGTGCAAGAAGGAGGATAAATACAAATATTTCAGCAGGTAAACAATTCAGACATTTCAGCTGTGTGTTTAGAATTCTGTATGGAATTAGTGTATTTGTATTGCACAAAATATCAATGAAATCAACTTTCTGTTTTGGCTGGAGCTGAACACTGAGCCATTCCTTTACTGCTGAAACCTCTCCCCGCCCTCTATTTCTAGGAAAGTGAGCCAAACAACATTTTTAAAGCTGGGGGGAAAAAACTAGGGATGCACCGATACCAAGTACAGTACTCGGTACAAGTACAGATACTTTTCTAGCTCCGAGACTAGAATAGAGAAAAATTCCAAAGTTAGGAGGCAGCTGTCATTAAGGAGCACACGGAGCTTCTGGGATTTGTACATCTGTTTTAATGTACGATTTTGTTTTTATAAATATAAATAAAGGGATGCACAGATACCAGTTTTGCGAGTACGAGTACTGATACATTTTTGTTTGTCATGTGACAGTTTTTCTAAAACAATACAGACTAATGATTTTAGGACAGTGGTGGAGCCAGAGCCAGGTCCCAGCTGCAACCGCTGCAACCCTGGTAGTTCTCATGAAAATGCCAAGTATCGGCACTGGTATGTGAAAAGTATCTGTGCACCCCTAGAAAAAACCCAACCATACTCTCACAATGCCAAACAAAACTTCCCTCAGCTCATCGAAGACTTACCATATCCTTTGTTGAAGATGTCTCTAGAGGACTTGCCGAGGTCAGCGTAGGCTGGAGGAACGGCCATCTTGACTGCAAATAAACATAATATTTTAAGAATTACAGCAATGACCATAAATTACATTGAAAAAGTAGATTCAGTAAAACTACAGCCAAAGCTTTTGATAAGAGGCTGATGATTTTTTTAAAACTGCATTAGTATTTGTATTGGTGGCAGTGTCCCCACAAGGGACATTTCCTCTACTTCGCTTCCCAAAAATGTTGGTGACTAGTAGGGCTGCAATGATTGAAAAAGTTGTCAACTTTTTCAATCATCGATTAATCGGCTTTTGATTAGTTGCCCCTGTCCACACACACTGCGCGCCGCACCTCCTCCCCACCTCACGCTCGCCGCTGCCAGACCTACCCGCATCCACGCCGCACCTCCTCCCCGTCTCACGCTCAGCGCCCGCCCACATCCACGACCGCCCCACGGATGCAGGGAGAAGTAAGGAGGAGCAGGGGAGAGGAGACAGGATGTATAATGTATTGCTGGGATTTGTTGTACTCCTATATAGCTGTTGGTATTCTGCATTGCGCTGTATAGAGGACTACAAAACCCAGCAATAGTACATTATACAGCACAATGCAGAATACCACCAGCTATAGAGGAATACACCAATTCCAGCAATAGTACATTATGCAGTGCAATGCAGAATACCACTAGCTATAATGTACTATTGCTGGGATTTGTAGTCCTCTATAGCCAGTGCTATTCTGCATTAATTGCTGTATAACTTTACACTTTTAATTTCACTATATTGCACACCACAGTTTTTTATTTTATTTACTCCCACCACTCCAAGCTTGCTCCTGTGATGGACTACAATCGCAATACAAACTAGTAGTCCCATCATTGGAGCCATTTTTTAAAATTTTACTTTTTATCCGATTAATCGAACTTAATAAATCGGCTAACTAATCGATTTTGAAAATAATCGTTAGCTGCAGCTCCAGTGACAGAACTGGTGGAACATCAATTAAAACAGGTACACAGGCAGCAATAAATACACATAGAAGAGTGCGTTTACTAGAAGAGTGCGGAATCGGTTTACGCTCTGTCAAGTTGGTTTTATTTGCTGTCCATGTGTGGGTTTATGTAGTGCCAGAGTATACCTGCTGACAACAGCGTACAGCCATTGATTTTAATGTCAGGATTTACGCTGCACTTTGACTTCTCTGCTGGCGAGACTACACTGCACATATTCACTTAAAGTGACATTAAACCCTCAGATTTTTTAACATAAAACAATAGAGTAATGTGTGCCTTACGGTAATCCATGGTTGTTTCCCTTCTCTTTGCTGCTCTTCCTTTTAAATCCTCATGTCTTCTCATGCTGGGCAGAACTTCTGTTTTGCAGCAGACTGCCTTGTCTCAGGAATGGATACACGGTGTCTGTGTATACGTTTCTATAGGCTTGTAACCTGAGCCAGCACTACAGGAAGAGGCACTCCGCTGCAAAGGGAAGTTCTGCCCAGCATGAGAAGACATGAGGATTTAAAAGGAAGAGCAGCAAAGAGAAGGGAAACTACCATGGATCACAGTAAGGCGCACATTACAGTATTGGTTTATGTTAACAAATCTGAGGGTTTAATGTCACTTTAATTCCCCCATCCACACTAAACAGCATGAATAGAGGAATCTCCCCTGTTGGCTATGTATTCTGATAGCCAGTACCCCCCATCTGTCTGAATACCTGAACAGTGACTGCATCTGATTGGCTGGAGTCACTATTTATCTGAGAATATACTACATGGATCACATTTAGGCAGATTCAGCAGGAAATGGTTGGAATTTGATATAGGTTTGGCCAGCTTGACTTGTTTTAGAAAATGCAGCTGTCAACCAGAAGGGGAAACCAAGGCCAGGACTGGGAGAAGCCACATTGATCTCTGCAGTGATGGTCTTGGCCCCTTATGCAAATATAGGAGCATAATGACATACTAAGAGGGAGGTGTGGGAAGCCTCTGACGTCCTGGGCCTTGCACTATGCCTGCATAGAGATCTTAGGGAAAAGCTACATTGGGGGAATTTACCAATAACGGAGCAGACCGAACCTGAAGCAGCTGTTCATAGTAACCAATCAGCTTCCATCGTCAGCTTGCTCAGCTAAGCTTTTAAAATGAAAGCTAGAAGCGGACTGATAGCCAAGCACAGCTGCTCCAGATTCTGTCTGCTCCAGTCTTAGTAAATCCCCCACAAACTTGTACTATTTTTAACTTGCAATATGCAATATCAGTGTCTTCTCATAAAAATCTGCTTTAACGATTTCATTGCCAGCTCCGTATCCTTTATGACAGACTGTAAAGCTCACTGCTTTACACTGGAAGCAATTCTGGTGGCTGAGCTGCCACAAGATCACTGACAACCCCGCCTTGCTTCCTGGGCTCCGCTGCCCCTCCTGTGGGCTAGAAACGGCATCACGGGTGTTGGCTAGAAAAGAGACGAGCGAACATCCTTTGACCAATCTCCTTCCCGCTGAATGGAGCCGGGAGCAACACTAATCACTTCCGGTCCTCCTGCTGTCATTCTCCGACTTGGGAGCTTGAATAGCTTCTTCGAAGTGGAAAGGTGACACTAGACCCCTAATGTCACCTTAAAGAGAACCTGTCACCACCAATATGCTATCCCAAACGAGGCTTGTGAGGCCCCCTATGTGATAGCAATGAAAAAAAAATATTAAAAAAATACCCCCACCCCATACATGTTTTCTTTTTTTAAAGTCCACCACGCTTACACACAAATGCCGCCTACGTACGAGATTAGGTATAGCTGCGTGTGCCAGAGTGGGAGCAATAAATCTAGGGGCAACATTCATGGTTAACTCTAAACTGATGACTTCTTTATAAACAATGGGGTATCATATTGAGTATTTCTGCAGTAAAATTAACGTAAATGTAATTTTTACTACAATTTTGAGTTTGATAAAGAGTTGCGCTAATATCATGCGACATAAAAACTTGCAACTGCCACCATTTTATTCTACAGGGTCTGTACTTTTAGGAAATATATAACTCAGGGGTTTTAGGTCCAGGCCTAAACTGGATTATAACCCTTAGTGCAGAAAGCACCTTAAACTATCAGTTGGTTCGGTTATCCATATTCTTGACGTCACAGGAAATGTTAGGCGTTAGCTTCTGAGAAAAGAAAAGTCATTTGATTTTAAATGAGAAAAACCTCCGGAGCTCCGACAGTCTGCATACATACATGGCCGCTCCCCAACACACCCTAACAGTCTGAGGAAGGTCAAACGCTCTAGGTGTGTTACTACATTCCACACACTCCGTGTATCTCAGGTGCCCACATATGGGAGCTGCTGAGACACATGTAAAACATAACAGCTCATGCCACCAGCACCCGATGCAGATGGAGCTTTAGAAGGGAAAAGAAATTCCTACCACAGACAGTTTGTAATAGATTCTCTCCAACATCACATGACAGACCTGCAGCCTATAGCAGCACAGGTTACATTTAAGGCACATTTACAGTAACTAAAAATTATTTTAGAGAGACCCTGCCACAGGTTAAAAAAACAGTGTGTGTTAAAGTTGCTTACTTGCATCTTGTTTTCCTTCCTAAAAACTATTTTTATGGACATGAAATGAGACTCTTGATAGAGAACCAACACTCCAGAAAGTGTCAATTTCCTGGCACAGTCCCTTCCCTTCTTGCATGTCATAACCCTCTCTCCTGGGAGTGTCTAATTACTCTCTGTGCCGGCCCAGCTCCTCCATCCTCAACTCATACATAACCTACACAACCTTTTGAAGCTTCTCTCCAGCTACACTTTAATATGCATTGCTTTTTATTTTTATATTTTCTGAAAATGTTGTGGTCAAGTAAATGTCCATCTGCGCTGTGAGCCTTCCTCTGGTCAAGCTGTGGGCAAGGAGTTGTAGTGCATACTCTGACCCACAGCGCTCCTCTGGGACTACACGTCCCAATGTTCAGTTAGGTAGCAGAGGGCTGGAGGTATAGACTTTGTAAGGGGCAGGTTATCTGTTAGGAGTAATGCTCCTTACTTTGCCTCTTGCTGTTTCTAAAGAGTATCGGCACAAGACACTACAAGCGTCTGTATGCTGCTAGGACACACGTCTATGAAACAGTGGGCGTTACCAAGACATTTATCAGAGCTCTGAATGTAACGCCCACCAGTGACATCTCCTGCATAATGCACTCCAGAGGGGTACAGCCACAACAGTGAGGCCACTGATGAGGAGGTTAGATGATGCTTGCTGTCATCCAGTAAGAAGTCAGCGAGGAGTCAAAGCTTCAACAGCAGACTGTGAGCAGATATCATATGATCACTTGCAGCAAAAGCACTTTGTGACCATCTCTGGCTGATTTAGGAAAAAGTGAGGATGCAGTTCCGTTTTCAGCCAGAGAGGAGTGAAGGGGAATACTATAGAGAGAGTGTCACATGAGCTCAGAGTCTGCCGACATCACATCCAAGATGGAGGAAACCAGCAACAATCTCAGGGACAAGGGAGGATTTTACAGGTAAATAATATGCATCAGATGAACATATAACCCTATATGTGTGGAAATGAGTGGTCTGATGACAGGGTCTCTTATAGGGAGACTGCATTATGCTGCAGTACATTGTTTGACATAAAACACAGGCATCACACATTTATTATGGCATATGAACAGTGGAAATTCTTCCACTCTGCTTTGCATAATGCATGAGGAAAGCAGGATGTTTATGCTCATTAATACACTTGTGAAGATGAATGAGGAAGCTCGTTATCAGCATTCCATATTGCATGTGGCTTTGAATGAGATATCTCACAATGAGGACGACCTTTCCATCACTGTCTGATGCAACATCCCTTATAAGAACTGCAAGGAGCTGTAAAAGGAGCTCAGCAATAAAGGGTCAGCAAGGTCACATCTGTCATTCACAGAAGACCACCACTAAAGCTGCTCACAACACTGCTCGGATTTCTGCAAATCTGGCTGAATCCCAACCCCTCCCCTCAAGTCGATTTTTTAATCAGCTAGTTGAAAAAGCTGCTTCATTCTCAGGAAAACTGTCTGCAGCCAATGAGCTGCAGTCACCGTTCAGGTATTCAAAATACTCGCAAGGGACAAGGTATCACTTGTCCTATTAACCATCAATTAGGGCAGGGATGGCTAAACTGCGCCCCTCCAGCTGTGGTGGAACTACAAATCCCATGAAGCTTTGCAAGATTCTCACAGACATGACTCCCGAAGAGAGATGCTTCATGGGATTTGTAGTTTCACCACAGCTGGAGGGCCGGAGTTTGGCCATCCCTGAATAAGGGAGACATTTTTCTCCCAACCACCAAGGGAAGGGGCCGGCATTCTCCACAAACCACCAATGCAAGTACAATTTTCACCCTCTGCGTCTCTTTGCTGGTCATTATGATCAAGTTCACAGATTACCAATCACACTAATTTACCATGTGCTGTAGTTCTGATCATTTAGGCACCATTCACACTAAGCGACATACTTTTTGCAGCGGATCCGGGCAGCCGGGATAGCGCGACTTTCGGGGCCACGTTCCAGCGATGGTACCGCGACCTTCGCCGTCGGGCTCCATTTAAAAATAGAAAAATCGCGCAAAATCCGCCGAAAAAAGGGCCCTGCTGGAGCGACATGGAGCTAAGACATCTCTATTGAATAGCATTGGCTGGCGACTTCTCGCGATATCGTGCGGCAAAAATGCGCTAAATCGCTTAGTGTGAATGGGGCCTTAGACTGGGCTTCCCTGAAACCTTAAAATACCGAGAGGGTTCCTCTGGGGTGAAGAGGTTGTATTAGACAGAGGCTGGTGATAAGGTTTCCGAGGGCAAGCCTTCTTTGTCACACTATATCACAACTCAGTAGATATGAACCAAGTAGGGAAGGAGACATTTTCATGTGCAGGCTTCTAAATACAGACATTTGATGCAGGGAGAGATTTGTACATTTGTCCCCACCCAAAGCAATCAATCTACATCTCCCTGCATGTCAGTATAGATGGTGTATTAGCATCTTGGAAAACTATACCTACTTGTGTTTGGACAATATTTGCGCATCCCCAAGAGCATTGTGCGTTCTTTCTTAAATGTTGGTGTGCTTTGTGTATTTCTTCCAGGTCTGTGCAGTAACCTAAACTTTGCCTCTGTAAAAAAGACCAGTCACTGCTGTGCTCACTACTTATCCAGTGTGACTGGTCTCGTCTACTCCTGTAGTTTTCTGCAGGCAGCCTGATGGGCCCCTCCCACAGCTCTGCTCTCTGCACAGTCTAATGTCACTTTTATTGGGTAATATCTTGCAAAGGCATTTGGTGCACGCAAAGTGGATTTATCTCCTTTGTGGCTATTGTGGAAAATATTTAAAATGAAAGTTATAGAAAAATAGCGGTAAATCATCAGAATAGCAGAAAGCAAACTGCGTTCATGAATAGAATGCCTTATGGCACCACAAAAGTGATCCTAGCCTCAAGGAATTATAATGAAACAAGACAACAGTGACAGATGTGCCTCATCCATTCCCTACTCAGTGGCTGTACACAAGATCCAGGCTGAAGAATCCATATTATTTGATAGCATGTGGTAGGGAGGCGGTTTTCTTCAGACCTCCATTCCAGAAATATTTACTACTTCAGGGAAGAAAAGCAGAATTAAAGTAAATGAGCGAGCTGTACTCATATAAATGGCACTTTGTGGTCAGAGAATAACGAGCTCTGATACAACTGCGTCCCTGAGAGGTTTATGACTGATCATGGGTATAAGTGACTCTTCCCAATATGCAGCCTAGAAACCAGTATCGTTCTCCTTCCTCCTAGCTTCAACTGGTTATGAGCAGCATTATAAAGCCACCATAAAGCTATAAAAATGCAGCAGAGGTATGAGGAGGAAGTCACAGGGGATGTGAGGAGACGCCGGTTCATCCATACAGCTAAGGTCATAATGGAATGGCAAGTCACACACCGACGTCCTATATATAGTAACTGCTACACAGCATGCAGCAAGGAGCTGGGGGCAGCCATCTTGAAAGCATGCTCATCTCCTTCACGTAAAAGCGACCCTTTTCATCGGCACAATTCCCAGAATGAATCCTTTTCCGCCCCCTGATAGAAGTATGAATACAAATCTCATGACAGAAGGGGCTCAGTCTTTACATGGGAGGAATAATCTAATAGCAGTGACAGGCAACGTGTGCTGAGAGCAATGAGAACACGGAACATTACAATTCCCGGGATGGCAGAGATCCGTATGCCAGTGTACAGCTTCACACAGGAATCCATACACAGGGGTGGAATGCAGAGTCCACATGGGGACAGGATAGAACTAGACGAGCCATGCGTGCATTTCTACAGAGACAAAGAGCCGCAGAGGACCAATCCTGATCCCAGAGACCGCACATGTGGAGAGAGATCATCTCCAAGATCAGGGGACACAACACTACTGCAAATCACCTTCCAGCTAAGAGGGACTACAACTCCCAGCATTCCCTACCAACCTCCAATCTGTGACCTTTACTGCCAAAGACTACAGCTCCTAGGATTCCTCAATTTGTGACATTGCATCTGATAACGAAATCTCTCAGCATACGTGACCATTCAGCTAAGGGGGGCTACAACTCCCAGCATTCCCTGTCAACATACAATCTGTGACCTTTACTGCCAAGGACTAAAGCATTGTGACAGTGCATCTGAGAACTACAACTCACAGAATATATGACCTCTGAGCTAAATGGGACTACAACTCCCAACATTGCCTACCATCCTCCAATCTGTGAACTTTGAGCTAAGTGGGACTACAACTCCCTGCATTCCCTACCATCCTCCAATCTGTGACCTTCCAGCTAGGGGGTGGAGGGCCTAAAACTTCCAGAATCCCCTATAAATCGCCAATGTGACCATTCAGTTTTCCAGCTAAGGATTACAACTCCCAGCATTCCCCACTGATCTCCAATATGTGACCTTCAAGCTAAGGTGGGAGCACTACAACTCCCAGTATTCTCTACCAATCCCCAATGTGTGACCTTCCAGCTGTGGGGATTAGGTTCCACAAATCCCAACACAACCTACCAAGCTTTAATGTCTTTGCCAATCAGCAAAGGGAGATTGTGACTACAAGTCCCAGCATTTCCTTCCAATCCCCAAACTATGACCTTTCTTGCAGAACACTACAGCATTCCCCAATATGCGACATTCCATCTGAAAATTACAACTCACAGTATCACTTACCAATCTCCAACATGTGACCTTTCAGCTGAGGGGGGACTACCACTTCCAGCATTCCCTTACCAATCCCCACCAATCTGTCTCATTCCAGCTGAGGGAGACTACACCGCCCAGCATTCCCTCCCACGGTGGCGAATACCTCAGAACGAAAACGCTCACCCCATTGTTATGCGTGTATGGCGATCTATAGGGGCCCGAGCATCTCCTACGTGACAGTGTGCATGGAAGCCGGCTGTCACAGGCCGCACTGTGGGGTCAGTGACAAGACAATGTCTACCTACGTGCGGAGACACAAGTCACCGCCACCATTATCACCCAGTACAGCACAGCCCCGTCCATACCTCCCCTACCCCGTGGCAGCCCATATACCCCCCTCACCTGAGCAGAGCGATGTGCGGCCTGGCCGGTGCGTGCAGCTGGAGGGCGAAGTGAAGGAGACCCAGAGCCTGTCACAAGCAATCCCCGCCCACAAGACCCACCCAGTCCCGCCTCCTGCTGACGTCGCTGTGCCTGCACGAAGGAGCTCCGCTTTCAGCCCGCAGAATGTGTTCTACAGCGGTTATATCATAGCTGTGTCCGCGCAGGTCTCGTTTTGACCGCCGGTGAAATTTTGTCTTAGGCTGTCACCATTTACTCTTAAGATATTTTCAAGCTGGCAAAACCTAAGGCGGCCGCTCCCGGCTGGGGTCCTTCGAAGGGCGGGAGAGCGGCTGGCGCAAGCGCTTGTAACATTGGAGGTGACCTGAAGGGAAGGGCCTGTAGGTGGCGCTGTGGCTCCTCTGGAATGTTCCTCCATGGGGCCGCTAGTAACATAAAAGGGGAGCTCCATGCACAGTCAATAGACAGTGTGTGACCCGGGGTTTGGGAGATTAGTGGGGTCATCCAGTAAGGTTGGTAGAGGGGTACCTGTTATATTCAGATGGAAATTATACGTTCTGATGTGAATATATTACGCTTCAATATAACTGCAATGAGGTTACACTATATCGCGCTGGGTGCACAGGCAATCCTGCAGGAGCGAGATGCACAATTTGTACAAATTCTCCGGACACATTTATTCTATATGCTAATGTACTTTATGGCCTTACAACTATGATCAGCAGGCCTAGAAGGACCAATACGGGGCTTTTCTATTAGCGGCCTTTATCATTCTACAAGAAGGGGTAAAGAGCAGCCATAATTTCCATAGCTGTGGGCCATTTACCCTCCAACACAGCGGTAGCTAGCTCCCTTTGCGCACGAGGCAAGAACAGAAAATTGTGCCCCACCAACAGACGTGTGCGGTATGTGACATCATGTGTCCCGTCTCCAGGATGGAGATGGGACACAGCGCGTGCATGCGCTGGTGGCCAAATCCAAAATGGCATAAACATTTGTTTTGCTTGACGAAACCTAATGAAAACATTTTTAGTTTCCGTTCATTTTTTCCCAAAACAAATGTTTAGTCTTTGCACATGTCTAGTAATATGTGTTGGCCACCTGGCTCCCCTTAATTAGCCTTGATTAAAACTGTCCTACTGCTAACCCATTTCACACTGCTTTATAATGTGCAATCTCCCAATTCTTTGCTGGAGATATCTACCTGAGCTCTGTGTTTCCAATACATTTCAGCCTATTCATCCTCATTTTTACACTGCTCTTTCATATGAAGAACAACTCCAGCTTGTAGAAAAGTTAACCCTTGCAGTGGGGCTACCCCCCACACTGCAATGGTTAACTGCTTCTTCAGTGGTAATAAAGAAGGCGATAATTGTTGTTTTCGCACGTAGGCGCACCGATGCGTGATTATGTGCATGCACGTGGGGAGCGGTGAACTTAAGAAAAACATTTTTGCTTTTTTTCTTATATGTTACTTACATTTTTAAACACTTTTTTTTTTACACTAACCCTATTGCTATCACATATGGAGCTAACAAGCACCCTATGTAATAGCAGATAGGATGTGACAGGTCCTCTTTATGAAGACATCAGGGGTCTTTCAGACCCAATGTCACCTAGGGACCCCAAAGAAGCTGAGGAAACAGATATCTGCTTTCCCAGCTTCATTTCCTGGCTCTAAGAGCCGGAGATTGTAACGAGTGACACCGGAAGTGATGTAATACACTGGAATCTGCTGAATCTCTCTCCGATCACTGCAGGGAGACCCGCCGAGCCACTCCCGGGAGCCGCACAGGGACAGCGGTGCCCGGGGAAGCCAACGGCGGCCGTGGCAGGGGGGAGGGCGCCGCACAGTACAAACGATCTGACAGCTGTACAGCCTCCGGATCGCTTGTACATTAACCACCCTGACGGTTATCAGGTAAGAATGGGACAACATTCCTCTCCCAAAACTCCAGCAACTGGGCTCCTCAGTTCCTAGAGATTTGCATTGTGTTGTGAAAAGAAGAGATGCTACACCGTGGTAAACATGGCCCTAACCCAACTTTTTTTAGATGTGTTGCTGCCATCAATTTCAAAATGGCCTTTTGTTTATTTATTTTTTTAAACGGTACATTTTCTCAGTTTAAACATTTGATATGTTTTCGATTGTGAATAAAATATGGGTCTATGATATTTGCAGATCATTGCATTGTTTTCATGTAGACTTTGCACAGCCCCCCAACTTTTTGGGATTGGGGTTGTATTAGACGTAATGAGATCACGGGTGCTTAAACTGCTGGAGCCTGGGGGAGTAGAGGTGGTGGGGAACAGTCTAGAAGCCAGGTGGGACTGAGGATCAGGGGAGCATTTCTTCTTCTTCTACTGCAAGGGTTAATTTTTCTACAAGTTGAAGTTTTTCTTTAATCCTTAAGGAGAACTTAATAGAAAGAAGAGAGAGGACAGTTTTTCATCAGCGAGTAAATGGTCAGCCTCAGTAAAGCATGGGCCAATTTCTACCCGCTGGTCAAAACAGGCCTTGTACAAATTGATTAGAAATCATGTGTCACTGCAAAAACCAATTGAATAAAAGCCTTTTTTGTTTGTTTGCTGCAATTGCTCAGATTGGGTGCTGCTGCTGTATGTAAGGCAAGGTAATTGGAAAGGAAACAAATTAAATCTGCAGCCAAATATGTGCATGCCATGCCACTCTGCCCTTGATGATGTCCTTACCATACCCCAAGTTTGTAATTTAAAAGATGTGTATTTTTATTGTCACCCTTGAAACAGTATGAAAAAGGACCTTGTCTCCACTGAGTGGTATTTTTTTAAATTGTTGGTACAAGTCCCCCCACGGCAGTGCCCAGCTTCTATGCATTCTTCGACAATAGCTTCAAAAAATTGCCAGAATTTACAAACAGGATTTGCCTCCCATAGACTTTAATGTGATTGCCTCTAAGTTCAGGTTTGCTGAATTCCAAACAAGATTCCCTGAACTTACAATGAAACAAACTCGGGAAGATTTGATTATCTCTACTATTGACCTATAATCCCCGCTATATTACATTGTCAGTTTTATATGCCTTGATCTGATAAATGTCCATTATAAGCTTGTTTGAAGAGGTCAGAGTTGATGCCCACAGTCCTGTTTGTAGGGTTTGGATCCAAGGATATTCATTTGTGATACCTTTGAGGTCTTTACTTAAAGTGGAACTCCAGACATATTGGTCTTCCTTCCCCACCATCTGACTCCTACACCCCTGGAGCTACCCCCAGATGTTTTTTTAGGATATATAAATAGCTATAATGGCAAAGTGTCATTCTGCCCTAAAGAGGACCTTCAACACTGGGCTGAGCAGGAAGTTGGAAATAGCGCTGGAGAGTAGTAAGCAAAGCTTGCCACAATTTTTTTTAAACAGAAGGCGTAAGAAGACTTGAAAGCAAAAAATAACTAGGAGTTCCACTTTAACAACATATATCATTATCAATGAAAGTCAGCCACCCCTGAATAGCAGGTATACGAGTTGATATTTTCACCGCGAGAGAGCAGCAGGCTTGAAGCCTTCCCATCTACACTGAGTGGCCAGATTATTATGACCAGCTGACGTTTGTAGGCAAATTAGCTATAATTTTGCGCTGAAGTTGCTAGAGGGCCAGACCATTATAAATAGGGAAGCAGGTTGTTTACTACGACAGTAGAAGTGATTTTTTTCTGAAGATACGGGGAAACAACGCGATTTAACAGCCTTTGAACGTGGGATGATTGTTGGCGATCTGAGCCATGGAGCGAGTATCAGCAAGACAGCAGAATTCGTTAAATGTTCAAGAGCAGCTGTTGTTAAAGTGTTTAAAGACTGGACTGTCAGCCGAAAATCTGGGTCTGAACGTGCGAATTGTGGCCATCAGCGACTAGTCAATGTTAGGGCAGAACGGAGAGTGGCAAGACTGGTACAAGACAACAAGAGGGCAACAGTGCAGTGTCAGATTCCTCGCATCACCTTTCAACATCTCATGGAGTCACGAGGCGGCCCAACAAAGTCAGCTCGTGGTGTCATCTCGTGGGCCAACGAAGTAATAATCTGGCCACTCAGTGTATGCTGATACTATTCCAGTGATGGCTAATGTTTTTGAACTAGAGTGCCCAAACTGCAACGCATATTCAAACATTTATACACACAATAAACACACACATCACACACTCATTAAAAAAACATGCACATAAAAAAACATATCACACACTCGATACAAAAAAACCACACACAAATTAAAAAAAACAAACACACATATCACACATGTAATGAAAAACACACACATCACATATGCATTAAAACACACATCACACACTTAATAAAAACACACACACACGCACTCATTAAAAAACACACACTCAATAAAACACATCACACACACTCAAAAATGAATAATAATTTAAAAAATTGCTCTCTCCCCTGCTTACCTGTTTTGCAGGGAGGTAGCTGCATCCCTGGGGTCCAGTGGGGTACTTGGGGATTATCCTGGTCGTCAAGTGGAGGATCAGTGTGATCTGCATCTCTGACTGATTCAGACCTGGTGGTCAAGATGGAGCGATCAGTATGCTCTGCATCAGCAAGAGATGCAGATCATACTGATCCTCCACTGGACCACCACGGGATGATTTGCATTTAATATATTGCGCGTTTCGCAATACATTAAATAGGATCTGGGCACCTTCCAGGTTTAAAGATTGCAGCCATCTTTAAAAACGTAATGTGACTTGAGACCCGTGAAACACCGGAGGCCCTTGTGGAACACCCCTGGTGAGAACCTGGAGTGTGCGGGCCCCGGCAACCGGCATCTAGGCTCGTGTGCCACCAGAGGGGCCTCTGCGTGCCCTTTGTGGCACGCGTGCCATAGGTTCACCATCACTGTACTAGACCATAAACTCTTTAAAGTGTATATTCACAATTGCAGTCACATTTGAGAAGACCCCGCTATGTGTTTGTTATCCCGCTTCAAGCACAGACCTTCTTATTCATTAAATGAGCTGAAAGAGACTGGGTCACACCAAAAGGCTTTGCCAGTATAGTAGATATGGATAATATAGTGCAGGATATAGAAATATGCTTCAGTCCAAAAGTTGAATCTTTAGGGAC